TTACAACAAAAACTATATTTTTGTAATTTTAAAAAAGTTATTGAAAGAATCTTACAAGTACGATATTTTAGAAATTGTATTCTTAAATAATAGTATTTATGATTTTTCCTTTTATTTTTATTTTAGTATTTTTAAATTTAAATAATTTTCTTAAGAAAATAAAAAATGTAATTAATTAAATAATTAAAGTGATAAATGAGAATATTTCAATTGTTGTCCCACCTTTCAAAAATCCATGATAAATAAGAGTTTAAATATAACTCATTTCAAAATTAAGATAAAATGTTTAAAATTTCAACAATCAGATATTTATTAAGTTTTATTTCTGAAACAATAAATTAAAAATATATTTTATAAATTAAATATAAGATCACAATTTTATACAATTTGGTAACAAATTATCAAATTAATTGGTTATAAATAAATTCTCGATCACAATTAAGATTTTTATAGATTACAAATTATTTCACGGTCTTAAATTTATCAAATTAATAGTCACATATTATTTATTGATCACAAGTCATAAATTTTATAAGTCACAATTTATTTCATGGTTACAAAATATCAAATTAACCAACCACAAATTATATTTAAGTCACAACTTATCAAATTATCGGTCCAAAATTAACAAATTTTTAGGTCACACATTAATTATTGGTCACAATTTATCTATTTCATTGGTCATATATTGTTTATTGATCACACACCAACCAATTAATTGATCACAATTAACAAAATCATTTGTGACCACCTCCAACACTTGTAACCACCACCGACCACTACACCAACAGAATCATAGTCAAAACCACCGTTGCCAGAACCACCACCACCACCTCTCGACAGCAAAACCATCATCTCAAATACCGTAGCCAACATCATCATCACCACCACTATCTACCCACGACCACCACCAAATTGTCAACATCACCACCACCTAAACACCACGAAAACCACAGCACCACTACCAACACCCATTCAAGAACAAAAAAAAAAATCATTACCACCACCGCAATCCACGCTGTTGCAGTCGCCATTTGGGCCGCTAGAGGCACGATTTACACCTCACCATGGATCTACCACCACACCCACAACATACCACCGCCGCACATCGCACCACCCACAGCGCACCACCACCATCTTCTCTATCTCCATTTACACCACCCGACCAAAAATCTACAAACTCGTCCCCACCACCATCACAGTGCACTATCATCGCCTGCAGCACCAACACCTAAACAACCGCAACAAAACATGTCCAAAAATCACCGCACAATGCCGTAAAATCACCACATAAACCTCTACAAGCGGCGCTATGATCCGTATCACTAAGAAAAGTCCAGATCGCTCCTGTGATCCGCAACGTCGGTAGAAAGTTTAGATCCACAAGTGGCGCTATGATAAGGCAAAACCATTGAGGCGCATCGCATCATCGCGCCTCAACTCCGCTGCGCAAAGTTGGTTTTGCTCCGCAACGCCACGCCTCAACTCCATCGACGCTGTAACCATCCGATAGCGCATCCACTTAGGCGAATCAGCAAAGTTGTCCATCCATTAAGTCAAATAACTGCGCATCCATTGAGATGAAGCGACGACTGCGCCTCCAATGCCGAGTCTCCACGCCGGAGTTATGTTGCGGGGGAAGAACAGGGAAATTTGGGTTTTAGGTGAACGAAGGTGGGTTGTATAGATTAATTTAAATTGGGGTGGGTTGTTTTGGTAGGTAGGGTGTTTATAGATTTATTTTATTTTATAATATTATTGTTAATATTTAAAATTATGTTATCATTTGATTCTTGTATTAAAAAACTTTACATTTGAATTTTGAAATTGAAACTTAAAAAGTTTGGTTAGGTGTAATTTCTACTATTAATATCTTATCACACTAACTTTGTTGCACTGATTTAACTTCTTCTCTCATAAAGGCCACGTTTGTTATCTTTTAAAAAATTAAATTGTTTGCTACAGTATCATTTTTCTATTACACATTCACATAATAAAATATTCAACGCACAAACCAATAAAATTTCGTTACTTTTTAACAACACATTCTCCAAAAAATACTATTTCATAACTCATTATTCCCAAATAAATTCTTTCAAGCATTAAATCTGCCATTGACTTTACGGAACTGTTTATACGTATAAACTCAAAAGTGAATGACAAATAAATTATCATATCGATTT